TACTACACGAAGAAAGCCATCAACAAACACCTAGAACTCGACCCAATATACGCTCCATTGTGAAGGAAAACTGGAAGTGAGGTAATCCAGCTCAACAGACTCCAGAGTTTAAAAACCAGGCGGGAATACACAATGGCGCTTCATTGGAGGCTGCACTGATGATGTTACCCAGCAGGGTAATGAAACGTTTATGGAACAATGAACCAGCTCGGCGAGCCAACCAACCACAACATCCACAACCCGAGCTACAAATCTACTCTAAAATCTTAGATATGGTGACCAAATGTAATATTTCCACGTTTGTGGATGATACAAAGCTAAGTTGCAGTTGTTGCGCTGAAGAAGATGCAAAGTGACTTCAAGGATATTTGGAAAGACCTAGTAAGTGGGCAAGAACATGGCAGATGAAATGTTATCCCTTTCGTATTAAGAGCAGATGTACAGAGGTTGTCTTAAACATTAAGAATTTGGGAAGGGTAGCTGTATAAAAGGACCTGGGTGTCCTCAACAATAAATCACTGAAGGTGAATATGTACGTGCAGCTGGCAATTTATTTGTTCATGGGATGTGGGCATTGCTGTCTAGCCAGCATTTTTTTTTTTTTTTTTTTTTTGCTCATCCCTAACTGCCAGTGAGCAGTTAAGGGTCACCCTGTGGGTTTGGAGTCATATGTAGGCTAGACAAGGTAAGGATGGCAGATTTCCTTCCCTGAAGGACATTTGTGAGTCTGATGGGTTTTTACAACAATTGATGGTCACCATTAGATCAGATCTTTTATAATTTCACATTTCACCATCTGCCATAATGGGACTCAAATCCATGTCCCTAGAGCATTGGCTTGGGTTTCTGGATTGCTAGACTAGTAACTATACCAGTTTAATTATCGTTATGCTACTGCTCCCAACGTTGGTAGGATTTTGGTTGTAATGGAACTTTTGCTGGAGTACTGTGTTCAGTTTTGGACCCTTTACCTTTGGAAGAATATTATTGCCATAGATAGAGTGTAATGAAGGTTCACCAGCATTGGTCCTGGGATGGTTCGGCTGTTCTCTGAAGAGACATTGTTTTCATGAAAGGGGCAGCAAGGTGGCTCAGTGGTTAGCACTGCTGCCTCACAGCGCCAGGGACCTGGGTTCGATTCCACTCTTGGGTGACTGTTCTGTGTGGAGTTTGCACATTCTCCCCGTGTCTGCGTGAGTTTCATCTGGGTGCTTTGGTTTCCTTTCACAGTCCAGAGATGTGTAGGCTAGGTGGATTGGCCGTGCTAAATTGACTATAGTGTCCAGGGATGTGCAAGCTAGGTGGGTTAGTCATGGGAAATGTAGGGCTACAGCGATAGGGTAGAGGCGCTGGATCTGAGTTGGATGCTCTTCACAGGGTTGGTGTGGACTGGATGGGCCAAATGGCCTGCTTCCATACTGTAGGGATTCTATCATGCGTCTGTGATTGTTTAAAAAGAAACCCAGCCTGTATTCCCCACAGTTTGAAAAAAACAAGGGTTTGTTTCATTGAAACCTACCAAGTAAAGGTACAGCACAGTAGATGTACCTATGATATTTACCCTGGTTGAGAGTCTAGAATGAAGGGACATTGTTTAATAATAAGGGGGAAGCCACTTAGGATAGAGCTGACCAATTTTTAAACTCATGGTTGTGAATCTTTGGAATTCTGTACCCTACAAGACTGTGAAGCTCAGTTATTGAGTATATTTAAAGTAGAGATTGAAGGCTTTCTACGTACAGTGACCTAAAAGGTTATGGGTCAAATGTTGGAAAAAGGCATTGAAGTGGATGATTGTATTGAATAGTTGAGCATGCTCACTAGGCTGAGTGGCCTACTGCTGATCTGGTATTCCGAATTCCCTGACTGAAATGGCACACTTCCGTAGAATTGCGTTGGCTCAATTTTCTGACTGACTGGAGTCCACACTCGCTCCACGAAGCATGACTCCCCTTTCCCTAGAAACATTGCTATTCTCTTCATGCACATGCCTTATACTTGCTGGGGTAGCTGCTGGTATGTGCACCACCACAGCACTATGCTATGCACATTCATGTTCTGTCCCACCTCTTTCACATTTGCTCTGGTGTTTCCTACAGCTGTGAGCTGCCTGTCTTTCCTTCTGTGCTGAAGTGTCACTTTTCAGCCACAAGCTGTTGGCCTGAATGTACCCAGTAAAGTGTTAACTGTGGGAGAATAGCTGCTGGTTGTGTACTAAAGTACCACCTGAGGAGCTGGCAGTGCTGCCATGTGAGAGTTGGAAGTGTGCAAATATCTAACGCTTCTCTAGGCCTGGAGGAAGTTAAAAGTGGGAAGAGACAAGACCATTGTAGGATCTGAAACTTGCAGCATTGTTGAACCAAGAGCCAGTGTAGCACTGGAGTATTCATACCAGGTCATGGAAGGTGGCGTGAATTAGCATGTAGACAAAATTTTCAACGAGTTTAACTTCCCAGAACGTGCTAGCTTAAGAGTGTATTGAATTAGTTGCTTTTAGAGGTAGCCAAAAAATGAATAAGGATTTCATCAGCAGATGGACTGAAGTGACAATGGAGGTAATGATGTTACAAGGTTGGAAACAGTCTGCCTAGGTTCTGGTGTTGCATGATTATCTCTAGGTCAGATAAGACACAGGTTCTAAACAGTCTGGTTCAACATCAGACATTGGCCTGGTGAGGGATGCTTTTAGAACAGAATAGATTAGAATATCCTTTATCGTCATGTGTACTCCAATACAGAAGTATAGGAGTATAGTGAAAAGTTTTCACAATGGCTGCCTCTAATGAAGCTTTACCAGAGGTGCACTGACCATGTCACCTAGCAGGGTGATGAAACGTCAGTGATCAAACACACCGGCTCGGAAAGCAAATCTGCAACCCAGTAGCATTACTTTCAGTGTCTAAAAAATAATTTAGAAATAAGATAGTTATAACATATTTAAAGGATTGACATTACTATCTGATAAAGAATTTCAAATAGCAGCAGTTCAGCACGTGGTCTGACCGCCTGCACCAGACCCCAGTCCAACTACTGTCCTGCTCCGCTCCAAGCCTCCAGTCCGCTCTGCACCGGCCTCAGCTGCACCAAGCTAAGTTGCAGTCCTCCGGGACTCACTTCCTCTGACGTTCCTCTGGGACTCGCTTCCTCTGGTGCTCCTCCAGGTCTGCTTAAAAAAAAAGAAAGAGGAACAGGCAGAGCAGAAGAGTTCCAGGTGGAGCATCCTGCTCTGTTGCCATCTTGCCGGAATCATTTTGAGGCAGGGAACAAAGACAATGGCTTTGGCCTTCCCAATATTTAGTAGGAGGAAATTTGCACTGAATGCCAACCAAACAGGCTAACAAGTTGGAAACCCTGCAGAGGTCAAGAGTGAACGGTGAAGTCGAGCAAGGTGTTGAAATGCAAATATGTAATTTTGCATATGTTTTCAGATGACACTGCCATGGGGTTCTATGGGAATGGCAATCTTCTGTTGCACAAAGCTAGATTGTTGAGGCACACTAGCAGAGTGGGATGAGAAGCCACCACAGGGGCTGCTCTGGCTACCACTGGTTAGATCAGAATAAAACTAGGTAAGTGCAGTTGTTACAGCTGGTCGAGGAAGGAGGTTATGTTTTGAGAAAAATGTTTTAGTGTTTGTCTGACTTTACTTCACATTGCAGTGTGTAAACAAACTGATGTTGGATATCTGACTTAGTTTCCCTTCTGCCAAAACCACACCCAAAAACAAACTTCTGGACAGCAATTGAATATTTACTTTTAGTTCTTGTACTTGGTTTCCTGTGAGAGCAAGTTTGAAGAAGTTAAATGTTGGTTAAATAGAAGGAAATACATTGGCTTTAACTATCTTTTACATGTTTTACGTACTGTTTTTATAGTTTATTACAGATAGCTTTGGATGAATTAAATTGCTTATAAAACCAAGATGAACAACTGACATTTAGATACCACTCAGTGTTGGAAAAACCTTGGGGCACTTTCACTTTGCATCGATCAGACTTCTGATTGGAAAGAGGTGAATAGGTAGAATGGATATAAGGAACACAGCAGCAAGGAATAGCATTAAATATGCTTTTGTGAAAGTGCAACATTAATTTCTAAATACACTGAAAGTTACTAAGTTAACAAGGCGTAGAGCTGGATGAACACAGCAGGCCAAGCAGCATCAGAGGAGCAGCAAAGCTGATATTTCGGGTCTAGACCCTTCTTCAGGAAGTGCTTTGTTTAACTCCAATCTTCTATTTGAAACCAGCTTAATTAAATAACAAGACACTCATATGTTGCTCGTGATGCGAGAAAGTTGCTTCTGAGACATGAATGGATTGTATATGTGCAAGATCTAATTTAAAATCAGCCTGTCACAGCACTAGTGTGCTATAAAAATGCAAGAGTTATAAATTTTCATTGAACCAATATGTTCGTTTTGGCATATTTTAACCTTGTTTCAAGTAACTGACGAACACCAATAAATTCATTGATGTAGGTGGTTGCTGAAGTAGTAGATCATGTGCTTAATGCTTAGACATGTTTGAAGATGTAAGTGACCTACCCTGGAAGATTTTTTTAAATAATTGTAAATACCCTCAGTTGTCAAACATTGAGATGTCTAGCCCGAAAATGTAATGGTTGGAATCTTAATAATTTATAATCAGTCATTTTCAGAAGAGAAGGATTTTGGAATAATACACATAATTCTAAACTTTAACCCTTTGCCCAACGAACTTCAGACACATTGGATATCATTTTAGCAGATTTTCAAACCTCCTGAATGCAGTCTGTGGGAAAATAAAATGGAAAATGAAAGAAAGCCAACCACTGTCATGTATTTTGACAAATTTATCTTTCTAGAAATAAGAAATCAATTAATACCCAGGGTGGCAGCATTTTGAAGTGAGACTATTTATAAATGTGCTTGACAATATGCGTCAAGTACAGTCTTGCATAATTTGAGTTTCTTCACAGAACATGTGCCTTAATCTTTCTTGGTACTTCATTTTGAACAGGGTTTGTCCTTATTATTTATCTCGAGCTCTGAAGCAGAATGCTGAAGTAATCTTCATGCCATACAACTATTTACTTGATCCAAAGGTAATGTTGAAAGAGCATTTATGTAATTTCTTTGTCATTTTGTTATGGGTTTCCGTACTGCAGTGTTTTGATAAATTTAAAAGCTTAGATTCTGAATCACATTAAATATTCATGCAGTAATGCAAAATATCATTCATTTTAGATAAAGAAGCATGTTAGATTATATCCTTTTTATTTGATTTTGCGAGTTGAAAAAAAATCATAATGTTATTGTTTCTGAGACCACTCTACCCAGTACATTCACTGGAACATCTCTTTTTTTTTTAATCTTTTTAAAATGTACTTCAGAAACAATTTTATATTTAAACATACTAACGTCAAAAATGAGACACTTGTTGCAAATTTAGAAACAATACTAACGAATAATGTAAATTGGTCTAAATGCTAAGATTTCAATACGCATTACCTGTGGTGTCTTCCAAATATTTATATTTGGACATCTTCTGTTTCTCGTCTGTATACTGCCTCTGAGCAACATCATCCAAAAGCACCACGTTAATTTTCAGATATATGTTGATAACACCCAGCTCTATCTTACTTTTCCTCTCTTGAATTCTCCACTGTTAACAAATTGTTGGCCTGCTTATCTGATGTCTATTGTTATTGTCTTCCATTCCCTCGCTAAACTCCGTCCCCTCACTACTGACTCCATCTCTGTCTAAAACAACAGTTAAATTAAATTAGTTTCAGAGATAGTAGGAACTGCAGATGCTGGAGAATCTGAGATAACAAGGTGTAGAGCTGGATGAACACAGCAGGCCAAGCAGCATCAGAGGAGCAGGAAGGCTGACGTTTCGGGCCTAGACCCTTCTTCAGAAATGGGGGAGGGGAAGGGCTTTCTGAAATCAATAGAAGATGGATAGAGGAGAAGATAGGTGGAGAGGAGACAGACAGGTCAAAGAGGCGGGGATGGAGCCAGTAAAGGTGAGTGTAGGTGGAGAGGTAGCGAGGAGATAGGTCAGTCCAGGGAGGACAGACAGGTCAAGGGGGCGGGATGAGGTTAGTAGGTAGGAGATGGGGACCAGCCCAGCTCGTCCCCGCCTCCCTAACCTGTCTTTCCTCCCACCTATCCCCTCCTCCCACCTCAAGCCCC